ACTAATTAAAATATTCACTTGACATATAGGTCCCAAACATATAGGTCCCCACTAATTAAAATATTCACTTGACATATAGGTCCCCACTAATTAAAATATTCACTTGACATATAGGTCCCCACTAATTAAAATATTCACTTGACATATAGGTCCCCATTAATTAAAATATTCCCTTGACATACAGGTCCCAAACCTTCACCTCCACGTAACGTCACTGTTCAGGAGACGGAGGATGGTCTACTCATTTCGTGGTTGTCACCGCTTAACCAGAAGGTTCCCGTGGCCTTCTACTACGTCGAATACCGCACCCAATCCATGTCCTGGAAGCGGTGGGGACCAATTAAACGCGCTACTTCGTACTTAGGTAAAATATTTTACATATATTGAAAAAAAAGTGATAACTACATAACAGTGCAAAATTAGCAACAAATAAAATAAGCATATACAAATAAGAGGTTTTAGTTCTTTGTAGTGATTGTAAATATATGCTCACTCGTTTGAAAATATATATTTATATTAGATTCATTAGTGTACTAAATATTGAGTTGAATATAATAAATCTGTCTTAAACGCTTTAACAGAACGTCTTATATACTTGTCAAAGGTCATTCTAAATAGTTAACGTCAGAAATAAAGCATAGATAGACTGAGGTTTAAAATACTGATAAGTTGAATTGGTTAAACGCCTAATTTTCCAGTAACACATCCTCAATTCCTTTATGTTTCCTATATTGACGAGAAATAGTTCGTCGTATTTGTAATTTGTGTTACATGTACAATTAAGGTATTATATTAACATTTTTATATTGTAAGTTTTCGTTGTTATATCATTTATATTCAAAACGCCTACGTTCTAGCTATAAATAATGTAAATGTAAAAAAAAAAATAGCCCTTGTTTATCCAGTTTTATGAAATATATACAGTTTTATTGTTCATAGAAATGTTAACATCAAAATCTTCTAAACCAAAAACATACTTTATCATACGGAAGATAAATGAAGAACAGCCATTATCATACAAACTTCATTCAGTACCAATGGTGGATTTAATTAACACCATAATAAATCGTGTTACTGAAATTCTATATTTTAAAAATGAATAACTTTTTATTGCCATGTTTTAAGGAGATTTGCTTCATCAAGGTGCTAGCTATACAAAATATAAACACTCAAATTGTATCTTTGTGTATTTTATAAGACTTTAGCCTTTTAATTATGTATTTCATAATATCAGCCGCATCAAGTAGACGTCACTTTTCCTATTTATACCACAAGAATTGTTCAACTAAACCTTTTGGCTTCCCTAGGACTAAAGTGCTAATATACTTGGCTTTCTCAAGAAACGTAATTCACAGAACATTATTACAAAACTTATTTTTCTTCGTTTTTACTAGAGAGTCATTACTATAACAAATTATCTCGTTAAAAACAAAATTGAGTATATAAAGATTGCGAATGTACGAGATGTAGGCCTAACTTAAAATCTTGCCACAGACAGGCAGGTGCTTGTGATTGAAAACTAGAACACCGTAATTTCTGAGGCTCAACGATTGGCTTAGCTGACATTTATTCGTCCAATTAAGCTGCAGCAACATTGGACCGATCTCTCTGAGGAGATATATTGGGCAGTAAATGAAATAACTCTTAGCCTAGAGAGAATAATATGAACTCCAGTAAAAACAACTTATACCGGAAAAAGTGAACGTAAAATGCTATTATTTCTTGGTTTTCTCTAACAAGCTTTCAAAGGAAAGCATGCACATCCAGAGAAGGAACGCATTGCGTCATCTAAGTTTCTTTATTTCTTGGTTTGTTGACACATTCTCGTACTTCCAATAATCTAAACAAACGGTTAGGTTTCATGATACTGTATCAGAGAACGACGAGTAACGATTTTAGATAAACAACAACAAAAGAAAGCATTCTAGTATCCTATATATCGTGTATAGTTTTAAATGTATACTAGTATCCTATATATCGTGTATGGTTTTAAATGTATACTAGTATCCTATATATCGTGTATGGTTTTAAATGTATACTAGTATCCTATATATCCATACACGATATATAGGATACCAGTATACATTTAAAACTATACGCGATATATAGGATACTAGTATACATTTAAAACCATACACGATATATGGAATACTAGTATGCATTTAAAACCATACACGATATATATAGGATACTAGAGTGCATTTAAAACTATACACGATATATGGAATACTAGTATGCATTTAAAACCATACACGATATATATAGGATACTAGAGTGCATTTAAAACTATACACGATATATGGGATACTAGTATGCATTTAAAACCATACACGATATATAGGATACTAGTATACATTTAAAACCATACACGATATATGAGATACTAGTATGCATTTAAAACCATACATGACACGATATATGGATACTAGTATGCATTTAAAAATAGTTTTAAATGTATACTAGTATCCTATATATCGTGTATAGTTTTAAATGCACACTAGTATCCTATATATATCGTATGTAGTTTTAAATGCATACTAGTATCCTATATATCGTGTATAGTTTTAAATCCATACTAGTATCCCATACATCGTGTATAGTTTTAAATGTATACTGGTATACTATATATCATGTATAGTTTTCAATACATATTAGTATTTTATATATAGTGTATAGTTTTAAATGTATGCTAGTATACTATATATCATGTATAGTGTTAAATGCATACTAGTATCCTATATATATCGTGTATAGTTTTAAATCCATACTAGTATTCCATACATCGTGTATAGTTTTAAATGTATACTAGTATACTATATATAATGTATAGTTTTAATACATACTAGTATTTTATATATAGTGTATAGTTTTAAATGAATACTAGTGTCCTATACATCG